ATGGCTGTAAGTCAGAACTGACATGATGGCATCTCACAACCACCGCAGGATAGAATACATATAAATTAAAATTCTGCATTTAGGAAATGACTCTTTGACAACTGTCCAAGTACAATGGTTGGTTCTGATGCACAGAGACCCTGTAAGTGGAGTTGAGCTGTCCCTTTGAATTTCTAAAGCTGTGAATCTTTGCATGAGTGGACAGCCTTGTCTTTCTCCAGCAGAGTGGCTGGTGGATTTGAGCTGATGACTTTGTGGTTGGCAGGCTCCTATTATATAGAGGGTTAGGTTAAAAAATAACATTTAGGTTAAAATTTTTAATTTATCATGTTTTTCCTTTGACTCATTTTTTAATTTGTTCTGGTTTTTATTATTTTTGCTTCCTTATAGATTGAGGTTCTTCTGTGTTTTATTTTGGTGGTGGTGGTGGGTTTTATTTGATTGTTGTATGATTTTATTTATATGAAAGCTGGTAAGTAAACCTATAGAGACAGTAACTAGATTAATAGTTTCCTTGGGTTATGGGCAAGGAAGGTTTAAGGAAATGGGGAGCTAATAAAAATGGGTCAATAATAAATTTCTAAAATTGACTGTGGTAATGGTTGCACAATTCTTTTTAATATAATTAAACCATTGAGTTGTACAGTTAATGAATTATATGTCAATAAAACTATTTAAAAATCAGTGGTTTCTAAAACTGGTGGGTAGATTCAATGAATAGGATATTAACAGAGACTTAACGAATCTCTTCAAGGAACACTGTGGCATGGTGGGTCAGGCCTCCAGCTGCTAATGGAAAGGTCAGCAATGTGAATTGAACCCTCCAGGGGCTGCACGGGAGAGAGAGGAGCAGTTTGCTTCCTGAAATATTCACAGCCTGATAGCCACTTGCTGTGAAGTTAGATCGACTTGATGGCAGTGAGTGGGTTAAAGTCTCTCCTCAGGAAATAATTATTTAATAAATTAAACATATTTATTAATCAACTTTCACAGCAGAGAAGCCTGGCCAACTGACTACTGACTGAGTGATCAAAGCCATCACTAATGGGACAAATCAATACATAGGTCCATGAGAGGAAGCACCGAAACGAGTCAATTTCTTTGAAAAGTCATGCTGAAATGAGTAAGAGGAAACCCCAGACAAAGGCAACGGAAGCCTTCTACAAACTATGTGGCATGCGGGCCTCAGAAACGCCAAGGTCACAGAAGACAAGAAACACTGAGGAACTGTTACAGACTAAAGGGAAGTAAGAGAGCATCATGACTCCAGGTAACACGTGATCCCAGTTAGATGCTGAACCAAACCTTAAAGGACATTATTGGGGCGATCTGAATGGATGTGTGGATTCAATGTCAACTCACCTATAGGAGAGTGCGCATGTAAGCAGAGATTTCTTATCTGTAACTTTACTCTTAATGGTTCAGAAATGTTAGCTGTCTACTATTTCTACAAATTATCTGTAAGCCTGAAATAACTTTCCCCTCAAAAAGTTGAAACAAGCAAAAAGAGGGAGAGATAATCACCCTCTTGATAAATTCCCAATTATCTGGCAGCACAGAGCCATGCTACATTGTTGCTGTTATGGGCCAAGGAGTCCATTTTTGATTCGCAGAGACTCCACGTGACAGAGTAGAACTGACCCACAGAATTCCCTAGACTTTGACTTTTATGGGATCAGGGTAGTTCAAACTGCTAGCCTTTCAGCTCACAATCAGGTGCTTAGCCACTGCAACATGAAAGTTCCTTAGCCATGCTCTAGCCCAAAACTAAACCCACTGCCATCAAATTGATTCCAGTCCACAGCAACCCTGGAGGACAGTGCAAAACTGCCCTGGTGGGTTTACAAAGTTGTAATCTGCATGACAGTGGTGTGTCTGGTGGATTGAAACCACTAGCACATGACCTCGTCAAAATGTTAAGAGCAAGACTGTCACTTTGAACACAAAAACAGGCCTGACCTACGTCATGGTATTTTTAATCACTATGTAGCAATAATATGCAGTATTATTCCTAATAGTCCTAGACTGAAAACAATTCAAAGGTCTACCAAAAGTATAATGAATAAATAAATTATGGTGGAGTCATGCAATGAAATCCTCTATACTATGCTGTTTGATGTAACATAGATGAATATGTCATAAATATTGAGAGAAACAAGCTATCACTAGATTATAATGTATGATCCCATCAAGTTGGCAAACCTAATCTAAGACGTCAGAATAGTGGTTTCCTTTGCAGTTATTTAAAACTAGACCTCAGGACAGCTTGTCAAGGCACTGGTAAAGGCATCCCTGTTAGAGTGACTAAATCGCTGTATCCACAGTATAAAAATCATCAAGCTGTATATTTGTATTTTGTCCACATTATACTTTAATAGATTATAATTAAAAAACTACATTCTTTCTACTTACTGCAACATCTACAAGTGGAAAAATTTTATCTCCACTGGCCTTGCAGACATGTGTGTTTCCTTCCTCCTCTGCTGGCTTACTTTCTTCCAAAACCTTCTAAATGTGGACCTGACTCAGAGCTCAGTACATAGTGCTCTTGCTGCACAGTGCATGATTTGATGAGCTCATTCCCTAGCAAACTTCAACCTCCGAGAGTAACATGGCTCCTTTTCATCCACTCCCACTGCCATTCCCAATACTCTAGAACAGTGGTTCTCAACCTTCCTAATGCCGCGACCCTTTCATACAGTTCCTCATGTTGTAGTGACCCCCCCAACCATACAATTATTTTCGTTGCTACTTCATAACTGTAATTTTGCTACTGTTATGAATCAGGCGACCTCTGTGAAAGGGTTGTTTGACCGTCAAAGGGGTCGTGACCCACAGGTTGAGAACTGCTGCTCCAGAACAATGAGGGTATGCAATACTCAATACATGGGGCTTCCTTGTCTTCTTTCCTTACCCATAAACTATGGCAACTGTTCACCTGCTTTACGCTTCGTATCTTTCCTGCTCCCACTCACATGTCAAACTGACCTTCCTAAAAGGCCCATCATCTGCCTGCTTATAAATATTAAATAATTCCTCAAACCATAAATACAATTTAATCTCCTAATGCTGATGGTGAGATCAGTCACAATCCAGTCCCTACTGACATCTCCAATTTTATCTTAGTAACCATTTGCCTGTCCTAATGAAAAAAATATCCTCAAAAACTTTTTGCAAATTAAACCTTCTGTCCATATTCCAAGTGAATACCTTTCCTTATAGAAGTACCTCAGCCTAGAACATTTCTTCATTCCTCTTCTCTATACCTGCTCAATCTCCACTCAAAACTATACCTCACACCTTGATTACGTCTGCCCTTGCTTATCAATACCTAGAATACTGATGACATTTATCAGTCACTGGTGGGTTATCTTTACCATCAAGTGTTGTGTTTAGTGCATCAGAATGAAAAGATCCTCACATAAAAGGACAATGTCTTAGATCTCTTAGGAATATAATTATCAGTCACCATTAATTAAATTCCAACTTGTGAGGAGCCTGTGTGTATCAGAGTAGAATTGTGCTGTATATGCTATCCAATGGCTGTCTTTTTGGAAGTAGATTGCCAGGCCTTTCTTTCACGATGCCTCTGGGTAAACTCAAGCCTCCCACCTATAGGGTAGTAAGCTGACAAGCTCATTAACCGTTTGTACCACCCAGAGATCCAAATATATAAACACTAGTAACTAATAAATATCAGTGGTGAAGTGGTGTTAATAATCAATCAGTATAATCTAAACAAGGTTTCAGAAATTAAGGAAAACAGTTTCTTATTAAAAATAAATTAAATTGGTTTTTATTTTTTAGTAATATTTTACTTAATAAATACTGGAGTCAGTGGAAGGAAAGTAAAGGGACTATTAATATGAAAGCCAGGAGGTTCTATAATTTGAAAGAGTAGACTATGTCTAAGTGACGTATGTCATATCACATGTAAAATGAAATAGTGTCTATTTGTGATTCAATTATGAGCATATGTATGTGGACTATAATTAAGAGTATCTTTAATAAAATTAACAGTGTCTTTCATTAATCTACCACAAAAATTGTAAGGTCATATTATATGAGGTAGTATTAGTCAGACCATATAAAGCAATAATCGTCAGAAAGTAACCATATGAGTTAATAAGTGAATTAACAAATGAGTAAATGGATGTTATTAAGCTTAAATAAATAGAACATGAAGGGTTAGTGATACTGCACACAAACAACTTAAAATTATTTCTAGGAGCTTAAAATGGAACAATCACCTACTTAGCAGTAGTACTTCATAAACAGGTGGTTTATGAATTTGGGGATCTCTTAATAAATTCCATGAAAGTGTTCAAAATCAAGTATTAACCATTTCTAAAATGTTATGCCAGCAAAACAAAATATTTTAAATATTAAAATTATATTATACATTTAATAAAAAAAGAAAATTTCTATCTCAAGGGAAAAATATGTTGCAATTTCTAAGCTTTAAGTATAAATGTGTTTTTCCAACTTTTAAAAAGTAAACAGTAGGGGAAAGACAGGTACCGTAAAGATGAGGTGTAAGTCCAGGAATGCCAAGAACTGTCAGCAGCTAACAAAAGCTGAAGAGACAAAGGACCTTCACCTGAAGCAGCTGCCCTGAACTCTGATCCAGATCTGGGAGAAAATTTAATTTCTGCTCTATAAAGTACCCACTTGAAAAAGAAAATCGGAAACCTGTGGTATTTTTGTTCCACCAGCACTAGGAAACTAAGGCAAATATGTATTTACGTATTAACAACTCTGAGGAGTCCTGTAATAAAGATAAAAACTAAAGGGAAAAAGGTAAATAATGTACTTTTATAGTATCCACTAAAGAGGAATTTTACTTGACAATTACCTTCTTCATTCTTTTACTTGCAGTTATTATTCATCTGTCAGTCTTTTTTTTCTATACTAGTAGTTGCTGACGGTATAGCTAGCACAGGGCAACACATACAACACACAACAGCACAGTATATGGAAACAAGTCGTCCGAGGCATACCTGGGTTATTACTAACATTGCTTTTGGGTGGTTTCTGAACTGGTTTGGGAAGTGTAGACTCTGTCAGAGCTTTATTAGCAACCGCCTGTTGGGCCTTCTTTATACTGCTCCCTTCGGATTCCCATGTCTGCTCACCAAGACTCAGCTGCACTGAGAACATCTTAGAAAACAAAGAGACGGAGAAAACATTACAATTACAAATAAAGTGTATTAAAATTAAACATAACACAGAATCAGAATGTTAAGGTTACACATGAACTCAGAGAGTATTTACTCCAAGATCTTCCCCATTCTACCCAGGGCAAGAATTGCAATCCACTGGGGGTGGGGGTGGGGTGGGGGTATATACTCAAGCTTAAAATACTCAGCTCTTGGTTTATGGAAGGCTACCTTTTACAGTGGGAGTCTTAATTCTATTTTGAATCCTCACATAAATTTAGTCTTCACTGCATCTTTCTGACCACTAGCTGGCAAGGTAAAAAGCTTTGTCCTCAGACAGATTATACATGAAAGCAGATTAGTATGATTTCCTCAGTCAGCCCATCGAGGGGCAGTGACTTACCCTGCCCTCAGGGTCTGACCTAGTCATGCCTTTAATGAAAATTGAGGATCAGGGTCACTTGGTCGAGTTATACCACAATCAAGGTGGTTACAGGGCTCCAGAACCAATCCAGTAAATCTATCTAATCTACATGTTCCAGTCACCAGCCCTTGCCAGCTGCTGAAGTCCACTTCTCTACGATGAATTGGTCTGCTGACCATCAGGATTTATGATGACTTTCCTTTGTGTTCTATGTTCTATATAATTAGCAATGTGGCCAGGAGTCCTTTGGACACCATTATGGACTCATGCAGATGACCTACTCCGTACCAATGATTTCTCTTTGTCCAGTGTAAGATCTATTAAAGGGGTCTCCATGAAATTTTAAAAGTTAAAGAATTCAATTCTATCTATTCAAAGGTAATAGCAGCTCTAGGTATACACTTTGGTCAGAATAAGAAAAACTATCTTCCCTAAACAGAATCTTACTGTTAATGTCATTCAAATAGTGTTGAAAAAAGTAAACTAAGGACAAAGTACAAACAAAAACATAGATAACACTTTCATAAAATCTAATTTCTTAAGCTTTGTACATTCTTAAACATTCTAGTTAGTTAGTCAGGCAATTTTATTAAACATTCTGTCACCAAGAAACTCTCCACTCTCCTCTACCAACATTTAACCAGTCTCTCAATCTAGTCATTTGTAATCTCTAATATTTCTCACATTTCCCTCCTCCTCTCTCTGCCTCGGATACTGCATTGGATCCAGATTTCCTCTCCTTTTATTTGTGTAATAATAATCTCCCAGCTGATTCCTGCTAAAACGATCTTTCTAAAACTTCAACCCAATAGTATCACTACAACAAACACCAAATTAAAAGTCTTCTATTTCCCATTTTGGCATGGTACAATTTCATTTCATATACACCATACCCCTTGTGGTAGTTACACAATCTGGTGTCAATTTGAGGATTCAGACTGAAAGGGTGGAGTCTAGTCTGTCAATCAGATTGTAGCTTGATAACCTCATTTGGAGGCAGTAAGGAGGTAAATAGTTCGCTGGAGGCAGGCACATACTTACTCCCTGCAAGAAATCCCTGAGAAGCCACATGGACCTATCCTGATACAACCACACGGAAACCCCTCTTACTATGCCAATAGATTCACAAGATCTCCCACCAATTGGCCTGTGATCTTCCTGCATTCAGCATCATTGCATGTGTTTTGTGAGTCTGAAGAGGACTTTATAGATTGGTATCGGACATATGGGCTGATATTGGACTTATGGACTTGATCTGGGCTGGGATGTTTTCTTAAATGTATAATTACTCTTTATATAAAGCTCTTTCTTATACACACGAGAGTCTCTCTGGATTTGTTTCTCTGGTCAACCCAGACTAACACATTATGGTGCCTTGAGAGCGGGGTACTAGAGAAACAAATCAAGAAGATGGAGAGCGGATGTTTGTTTGACCTCTGCCTCACGGTAGTTTCTTCTCTGGATAGCCAGAGGTCAGACACGTCCACGCAGTTCACTGGGTTGTCTTCTGGAAACATGGGAAGTTAAATTTTCGATGATTTTGTTTGGTGGTTGTCTGGCTATTCCTGTGTGAAATGCCAAAAATGAATGCTGTTCATGTAAATTTTGAGCTCGGGGGTAGAAATCGCTCCTTGAATTTTTCAGAGACCATGCTGGTTAGAGAAAATGGCTGACTGAGGTCAAAATGGCTGACAGAAGGCCTGGCCCTGGCTTGAGGCAATGTTGTCAAGAGGCCTAATCCCAAAGTTTTGTATCAATAGAATAACTTAAAGAATTAAGATAAACTAAATAAGGATTGAACTTCACTGTTTTAAGAATTGCGATTAGTACCTGCTTCTACTTTATTTATACTGATTTCTTCTGCTTATTATTGTTGATATAACTGATTATTGGGAAGTACAAAAATAGAGCGCTTGTAAGCCCACTTGCCTTGAGCCATTAAAATCTGATATTTAAATAGATTTAAGCCAAGCCGGAAAATAAGGCTCTGAAAAGCTAAGTCCCACCCAGTGTTTTGGAGTATGCAGGATATTTGCATTCCAAGAGACCTGCCTAGAGGATTGTTGACAGACTGACAAAGGGACTCTTTGGATATTTGAATTTTGAACTAGTGGGTTTTTTTAGAAGCTGAAAATAATCTGGAGCCATAAAGAAAACTCCATTCTAGGACTGACTGTTAAAGGGAGCCTGTGGGTAGGCTGAAATGCTTGCTAGGTGACCACCTGGATCCACTTGTTGAGTGGAAGTGAGAGAAATGCGGCAATAGAGACAGATTGAGTCTGGCCACTGACACTCATGGACCTGGTTTACGAGGAACTAGAGGAGAAGACAAGAGTGGGTTGACTGGTCTGAAGGGGTCTAGCACAAGGAACTAGGCTTGTTGAGAATTTGTGACGAGCCCATGGTCTAAAGGTGAGGTGACCAATGGGCACCTTGGTGAGGTTAAGTGAGGCAGTCTACAGTGAGTTGACCAGAACCAAACCAGATGAAAAGAAGGTTTTTGGGCCTGTGAACTGGTTCATATTGCTGCTGACTTTATGGATGGCCTGTCCCCATGTGACTATGCTTATGGATGGGGAATTCACAAGGTTCCAACTGGGATAAAGATTCTGCACATCAAAGGATATGGCTGTCTCCTTGGAGCACTGGGTTGATGTAGGAGGGCAGTACAGAAATTGGATATGCAAAATTGGGGGGATAAAGTGGTTGGCTTACAAACTTTCATAGGTGGGAGAATATATCCAAAGGATTATAAGATTAAGGTCTAGGTATAGGGTTCACATAAGTATAGAATATTTTTGCTTTGTTCACTGATAGAATGTTCTATTTAAATGAGGGTGGCACATTTTTTAATTGCATGCATTTTAGTTTTATCCTATTTGGTACAGATATGATTTTATTGTTAGTTGTTTGAAAATTATATATGGCTAAAGAGTTTTGTGAAAGTTTCAAGTTAACAAGGGGTGGTCTGTAGTAGTTACACAATCTGGTGTTAATTTGAGGATTCAGGGTGAAGAGGTGGAGTCTAGCCTGTCAATCAGGTCTTAGCTTGATGATCTCATTTGGAGGCCCTAAGGACATAAACAGCTCACTGGAGATGGGACACATACTCACTTCCTGCAAGACATGCCTGAGGAGAAGCCACATGGACCTACCTTGATGCAGCCAGAGCCCTGGAGCTGGAGAAGCCATGTGGAGACCCCTGCCAGTGCTAAGATGTTTACAATGCCACTGGATCCACAAGACCACCCACCCATTACCTGTGATCTTCCTGTATTCAGCATCATTGCATGTGTTTCGTGAATCTGAAGATAACTTTATACATTGGTATCAGTCACATGGGCTAATAGAAGAATTAAGGACTTGATCTGGACTGGACTGGGATGTTTTCTTAATGTACAATTACTCTTTATATAAAGCTCTGTCTTAAACACAAGTGTCTATAAATTTGTTTCTCTAGTCTATCCAGACTAACACACCCCTCTTACAACCTACAACCCGGTCATAGCATACTGCTATGTAGCCTAAAAGCTTGTTGCTCCTCTTTAAAATTGTAGGATTAGTATGTATGCAGATATACACAAAACCTCACATCCATTGGATGTGCATTAAATTCGAATACAAAGAGTTAAAATACTCAGTGATTACAAATGGGAAGAAAGTATTTATGTACATGTTCACCAGGAATACAATTCAGTGTTTTAAAATTCCCATTCTTTTCAGTGCTAGCCATGGTTCATTGTGGTCCACGCAATTGAATGCTGTTGAATAGTCAATAGAACACAAATAAACAACTTCCTGGTATTCTCTGCTTTCAACCAAGATCCATCTGACATCCGCAATGATAACACTTTTTCTGCATCTTCTTCTGAATCTGGCCTAAACCTCTGGCAGCTCCCTCTCAATGTGCTGCTGCAACTGTTGAATAATCTTCAGGAAAATTTGACATGTATGTGATATCAATGATACTGTTCTATAAATTGTGCATTCTGTTAGATCACTTTTCTTTGGGATGGGTACAAATATGGATCTTTTCCTGTCAGTTGGCCAAGTAACTGTCTTCCAAATTTCCTGAGACAGACAAGTGAGTGCTCCAGTGTTTATCAGCTTGTTGAGATATTTTAACGAGTATTTGATCAATTCCTAAAGTTTTGCTTTTGGCTAATGCTTTCATTGTAGCTTGGACATCTTTCTTCAGTACCATTGGTCCTTGCTCATATGCTACCTCCTAGATGGTAGAATGTCAACTAGTTGTTTTGGTATGGTGACTCGGTATACGTTCTATTTTCTTTGGAGGCTTCCTGCATCATTAATATTTTGCCTATAGAATCTTTTACTATTGCAACTTGTGGCTTAAATTTTTTTTTTGTTCTTCCAGTTTAAGATATGCTGAGTATATTTTCCCTTTTTAGTTTTCTAACTCTAGGTTTTTGCACAGTGCATTATATTTCACTTTGTCTTCTCCACATGCCCTTGGAAATTTTTCTGTTCAGCTTTCGACGTCCTCATTTCTTCTATTTGTCTTAGCTACTCTACAATTAAGAGTAAGTTTCAGATCTCTTCTGAAATCTACTTTG